AGCGCGTGCACCGCGGCCACTCGGGGTCTCCCCCTCCCGTCCCAGGCTCTCAAACCTGGGAGGAGGGGGAGATCCCGAGCGGCCACAGCTCGCGAAACACCTGATTCACGCGCCGCTAGTTCTCCCTCCCTCCCCACGGGCTCTCAAACCCCAGGAGGGAGGGGGAGCAGCGGGCACGAGCGGCAGCAGTGGAGGTGAGTTAGGGCGGCCGGGGCACATTTTTAGGGGCGGCATGGCCCGTGCCAGAATGCTGCCCTTAAAAATGTGCCGCCCCAAGCACCAGCTTGTTTTGCTGGTGTCTAGAGCCAGCCCTGGTTGCCATGGTTCTGAAGAAAACCTTTCAAGGGATGTGAGGAACGGCTCGGAGAGCTGCAAACTGCCCCCCGGCATCCCAATGGGGAGTTAATATGATCCTGCTTCTATTCCCGTAGCAATTTAAACTATTAACCATTTCACTGCCACTTATGTGAGTCAAAACCTCTAGCTTCTCGACTTCTCCAGTAGGGTTGGCCATAACAGAGGACTGAGATAAGCAAATCTTGCTAGCACTCCAGCTGGGTGGGAGGGTTTTTTTTATGCTTTGTGGGTTTTTTGGTCAATTAATCAGAATCAAAACTATTTGCCAAACAAGGTCATTTTCCATGAATTTCCTGACTCAGAAAAATGTTGGGGGGGAGGGAGTGGGTTGAAATTATTGAAACATTTTTGTTTGGATGCTTTTGCACCAAACCACTCTGGTTGTTTGGAAATTTTAAGCAAATTAGACTAACTAAGGAGTTTTAAAAAAATCAAAATGAAACATTTTGATTGACCCAAAACAGGACAAAAACCTGTTTTGTTTTGTTTGGGGTTTGTTTTGTTTTGTTTTGTTTTGATTTGCAAATATTTTGTGGGTTTTTCCTCAATTCACAATGGAAAAGAATTTTGAACTATTAAAAATACTCAGGGGCCAAGAAAACTGTTTCCTGCCCAGTCCTACTTCATCCACATTTCTGCTGCTGGCATTGTTTCCCGCGGTATATTTGACGTTGCTTTGTCCAGTCTAGTCTCAGTGGCGGGGCTTCCCCCACTTCCCAGGGCTGATCCCACCACACCCAACACACCTCCACTTTCCTTTGCTTAATGTCCCCCCATCACTCCTAGTTCTACTCCAGGGCTGCAGGTGAGCCTAGAGATGGAGAAGGGAGAGGGGACCAGCCACCACCAGGGGAAGGGGTTGGATGGGGAGGGGGCCTTCAGAGCCAGCCACTGCCATTACTCAGCCATCTGCAGCCCCACCTATTCACCCCAAATCAATCACGAAGCTATAGGATTCGTAAAGCTTCAAGGTGGACTGGGAGAGTAAATGTTCCCCCCATGTCTGTAAAGAGGCCTCCTCTGGGTGGATCGAGGAGTCTAAAGACCGCTATATTCAAGTGGCTGTTTGTCAGCGTCAAACGCGGGGCATTGGCCACCCTGTGTGCGAGGTGGAGCTGCTGCTAGCAGGCTGCACAGCGAGGGAACCCCCGAAGGTGGCTTGCGGAGAAGCTTTTAGAGATCAGTTGCCGGGTATTGCATGACAAGACCCAATCTCTCTAGGAAGGGAGCTCTCCAGCTGAGTGCACCCTGGCCTTCTCACTGGCTCTGGCCCAGGGCCCAGTTCTGCCCTTGGATACACACCCATGCATGGGTCCACAGGCTTCCGTGGGAGCTGAAGGCAGAAGCGTGGTGACATGCACCTGAACCCTGTGTTCCCAGCATAGCGCCCAGAAGGCCGGGTGAGGGAGGGATGAACCTCCACCCAAATCCTCCTCTCTCCAGTTGCTCTGCAGCAGATCAGCATTGCACATGGGGCCGTTCTTCTCCATCCGAGAAGGAAGCAAGGCTAGTGGAAACCAATTCGATCCCAAAGGAGTGCTCCTTTCTCAGGGGCCTTCTGGGGAAATACAGCCCCAACCTCTCCTAGAAGACAAACGGGGAGAGTCTCTCCCACTTCGGTCACTGCCCAGTGTGCAGGCTACAAGGAGATCTCCATTTGGCAAGTGTTTCTCCCCTGAGACCAACACCTACTGCTAGGACCCGGCGAGCCAGACAGCCTTCCACCACTACCTTGAGGGGGAGGGAGAAACCAATCCCCCAGCCAGACCCACACAGCTTAGGTGTAGGATTGTAAGAGCTCACACAGGCAGCTGCAGTGGCAGATTGCAGCAGCAGCTGCGAGGGCAGGCAGCAGATGAGGACTTGAAAACGGAGCGGTATTCTTCAACCCTTCCGGGAGAGGAGCAGCCAGGTTGGTGCTGGCAAGCCGGAGTCAGCTGTCCCTCGGCTGCATTCCAGGCATTCCCAGGGACTTCTAAGGCAGGTTGAGAAAACGCTCAGGAGGGGAACGCATTCGAAGATAGTCTGAGAAGAGATTTTTACCTTGAAACTAGGACCATGGTTTCTGGATTTCAGTACAGCCTCCTTCTGTTCCTGTGCCTCACAGCATGCCAGGGATCTCCCGCTTCTCAGGTAAGCCTCCGTCTCTATCCTATAATTACAGTATCCACAGCAGAGAAGGTGGCTGTCTCCTGTCTCTTACCCCTATAATGCCCACTGTCTTTTATGTCTTCCCATGGCATCTGGAGAATCTGCCTCTCCTCAGCCAGGCGTAGAAGACAAACAAGGGATGTGTGTGTTTTACAAGCCAATTCCATGTAATGTAGGTGAGAGACTGAGTATGATCCCCAGTGCATAGTAGCCTGGGAGTGCTAACCAGCTTTCTTTCGCAGAACTAACTAAGCAACGACCGTTGTGCATTTGCAGAAAATTGTGTCGCTAAAAATTGGTTTATGGAACAGAATAGTTTGCCCCGAGCAGGACTTTATTGCTCTTCAGCTTGTTCTTTTCATGGCCTTGTGACCCATCCTGTGAATAAACGTACTGGAAAACTACCCCTCGCAGGCCATTACTTCTGACTATCCTCTGTCACTGACACTTTTCTCTTTCAAAGGCAAGGTAAGAGTTAAAAGTCACATCCATGAAACTACAGGTGCTGTAGTCTTCATAATTTCACCCTGCATCATTCTCAAACTCTTCTTCTTCTTCACCACACACAGTCAAAGGTATTGGACATTTTGGACCTGTATTCCCAGCGTAATGATCTTCCCTTCAGCTTTTACGGGTAATAGAACCTTTCTCACAGTACCACGCTGGCAGTGATTTTTGGATCCTTGCATAGATGTCACATAAGTATCTGAACTCTGCAGTCCTGTGACGACCCAGTGACTGTAACACAGTTTATAATTATCCGGAGAATCAGAAAGGGTATGTACGAGCCTTTTCTCAGCAGACAATAGTATGGTTAATACTTAGCTCTTTCAGTTACATACTGAATACAATGCACATGCTTAATCACGTTGACAAACTCTGCTGGCCTGTTAGGGACAAAGACTAAAACCAATTTTCTGAGAGCAGTTCCCTGGTGCTGTTTATTCTGGTTAGCATAAGCTAGCTGCAGTATGTCTGGCGATTCAAATTAAAAATAGCCTTTTAACAAAGAACTTATTATAAAAGTAAACTACATGCCAGGAATCCACTCCCTTCCTCCCTCCACCCCCCCCCCTCCACCCCGATTTCTGTATACCACATCCAGCCGCTATAATTTTTTATGACCATGTTGGACAACAAATCGTAGCTGGATTAGATATCTACAGATGTATTCCACACAAAGAAAAGAACATTGGGGTTGCAAAGTTAAGTGTTCAAAAGTCAGTTGCCCATGCAAATTCAGTTCAGTCCCCGGGTGCACATGCTGTATGGTGCAGTCTTGAATTACATATTCCTTTTTCCACCTGACCCAGCCCCTCTCCGTGCAGAGGGTAGACAGGACTTCAATGAAAGAGGCTGTTCAATAGCTGTTTTATCCCCCTCATTTACGTATGGCCTTGTCCCATATTTACAGCCCACCAGCCTAAGCCTGCCCCAAAGAAGGGGCTTTTTGTTTTCTCATGGGCTTTTCTATGGCACTCATCATCACCCATCCCAGGCGATAATGAACTTACCCTTCTAATGCCCCAGCGAGGTAGCTCAATGAAAGGCAAAACTGGCAACTCTGGCCTCTGAAGCCTGTTGTTTAAATACCTTGTCCAGCTTCACAAAAGAAGTTTGTAGCAGAACTAGGGATGCCTAGATCCCATGGCCAGAAGGGACCATTGTGATCATCCTGTATCGCACAGGCCCGAGAACTGCCCCAGAATAATTCCTGGAGCAAAGCTTTAGAAAAACATCCCATTTTAATTTTAAAATTGTCAGTGACAGAGAATCCACCATGACCCTCAGTTAATTGTTCCACTGCTTAATTATTTGCTGTTAAAACTTTGCACCTTATTTCCAGTCTGAATTTGTCTGACTTCAATTTCCAGCCACTGGATGGTGTTAGATCTTTCTCTGCTAGACTGAAGAGCCCATTATTAAATATTTGTTTGATACTTATAGACTGTGATCAAGTCACCCCTTAACCTTCTTTTATTTAAGCTAAGTTCTCTTGAATGCTAGGCAAGTGCCTCAATCACAAGGCAATAGTTCACTTCTTACACACTCCTGCTTCATTTACTGTCTGCCCTGGGCACTGAATGATGCCGCAGTCCTGTAGAAATAGGAGGGTATCATGAAAGTAAAGACTGTTTAATTTGGCCCCCTTGTGTTATGAAAGTCTCATAGGTAATCTGAATCTGGATTTTCTTAAATTCTGAGTGCTTGAATTGCAACCTTAATGGTCTGTTAATATAGTTTTGGTTTGTTTTTTAACGGAATCACCTAGGTTTTAAAAAAAATTAAAAAAAGACATCATCTTATGTGCCACTATAGTGACCCTTCTCTTGGGTCGTTAGTGGGTTTTGAATCCCAGACCTTTAGATTTTCAGCACCGACCTCTACCAGTTGAGCTAAAGAAGTGAAGTGACTGGCAGCTGTAGAAAGCTGTTATCCTTGCGGGGGGGCAGCCCCCCAGAGAGAGCCGTAAGACGCATTTTGCTAGCGGGTTACACCGCTATTTGCTGTCCAGCAGTGGAATGTAAGGAGTCAGGAGTCCTGGGTTCCGTTTCTGGCTCTGGAAGGGGAGTGTGATCTAATGGTTAGAGCAGCGGCCTACGGGTGAGGACTTGGTGTTCTCTGTTTATCGATGACGCTCTTCATTGGCATGGTGCTCGTTCACGTGTGGTGCTCTGGGAAGGAGGGTATGCAGGAATAGCTCTGTTTGACAGGCCCTGTAACAGGGTGGCCTGCTCCTGTAAGGACCAGGAGGCCTGGGTTAGCCAGCCTCTGGTCAATTAGCCCTGGCCCGCCACAGCTGCAGGTGTGGGACTTACAGTGGGAGGAAGCCGAACAGCTGAGGCTCAGGTGTGGAGGGACAGCCGTAAGAGTGGAGCTAGTTCCTATGGTCGGCCCTGGGGTGAGGCCAGGCTCCCGGGAGGCTGTGTGGGGCCTGGTGTTGCTGAGGAGAAGCCCAGAGGGATGGGAGGTCTGAGCTTGCAGCAGGGCTGCGGTGGTGGCGGATTTGTAGTGCTGAGCTCTCCTGCAGGGTCCCAGGGAGAAGCCCAGGGCCCAGCGACTCCAGAAGGAGAGTGTGATTGAAGCAAAGGGTGAGGGCGGAGAGGGCTCCTCGTGTGAGGGTCTGTACAGCTCGGAAAGACTGTTGCTGGATCAGGGGCTTTCGGGAAGCCAGCTTAGGGCCTGACCACATACCCTGCGAGGGGATTGAGCTTTTAAGTGTGACCTGTCCAGAGTCACCAACCCCAACCGCCGCAGGGTCCGGCCGGCCGCCAGCCCTCACCCAGCCACATGGGGGCGCTGACTGGTGAGTCGCTTTTCTGTGTGTGGGGCTTGCTGTGGGGCAGGACACTCTGACAGACACCATGGGCAAAGCCCTAGGGTGTGGCAGGGCACAAGCGCAAGGTAAAACGTGCTGCGAAGGCCAGGGAACAGCCGGCCCCGATCCTTCCTTGCTGCTGCTAAGTCCAGGAGTAAGGGCGTGGCGCTATGCGGGCATAACCAGCTCCCCTCAGACATCCCCACTATAGTCTGCCTCACAACTACAAACCAGGGGTGACCCTGCAATTGGGGGCAGGATTAAAGCGTCACTGGTCCCCTGAGCTCTTTCTTGTGTGAAGAGACATTTAAGAAGCGACTGGAGCTTGGCCTGTCTGTACTTACAGCAATGGTGAAAGCGGAGGGGTCTAGCGCCCCTACAATGGAAATATTGGAGGGTGGGGGGCTGATGCATGTTCCCACCCCCACAATGGGCCCCAGCTGTGTTTCTGCCCCTGCACACGTGTGTGGGGCACAGAGACGAGAGCGGGACCTGGAGGAGGGGCTGGAGCAGCCACCATGGGGCACCAGATCGGGCCAGTCTCTGGGGAGTAGGTAGGAAACCCCCAGCCCTGGGGAAGGGAAGAACTTGGGAGCAAGGGCACCGGCATGCCGAGCTGGGGGGTCAGCCCCTGAGTCTGAGTAACTCCCCCGTCCGTTCTCTCTACCCTTCCCTAGTCACAGTGAGCGTTTCCCCCCCGCCCAGAGCACCTAGATGGGGAGAAGATTTCTCACAATGAACAGAGGGCTCTTTATTCTGCAGACGAAGGCGCGGTGAGCTCTAATGGTGGGAAGCGGAAGCTAGACATGTTTAGGGTGACCAGAGAACAAGTGTGTCCCACCAGGACAGGGTGAGGGGTAATAGGAGCCTATATAAGAAAAAGACCCAAAAATCGGGACTGTCCCTATAAAATCAGGACATCTGGTCACCCTAGACACGTTCAGACTGAAAAGAAGGGGCAGATCGTTAAACCGGGAGAGGAATCGAGTCTTGGAACAAAGTCATTTGGGATGTGATGGCGTCTCCATCACTTGGAATCTGTAAATCCAGGCTGGATGTCTTTTGAAGAGATTTACTGTCACTCAACCAGAAGGCGGGGAGTCCAGGCAGGAATCCCAGCGTGAAATTCTCTGCCCGGTACTAGGCAGGAGGGTCGGAGAGGAGGTGATCACAATGGCTCCTTCTGGCCTTGGAGTCTCTGCAAACGTCGTGCTGAGCAGCGCCAAGGCCGAGTCAAAGAGACGTTTCCTGTCTGCTGGTCCCAGCTGCCTGTGTTTGTCGGAGAGCTCGGTGTGTGCCTGGGGGCAGGGGTCTGTGTTTGAACGCTGGCCAGTGTGAACTTTCCCACCATGGTGTGCAGCATTGCCCACATTCCTGGAACCCCTCTGTCAAATGGCTCCTGGCTGCGCCCTGACGGGACATCCCATGTCCTAGCAGCTTCTGCGTGGGCCCCTGGCAGCCTCAGTGAGGTGTAGATGCAGGGGAAAGACCTTCCTTCAGATATGTTCTGTCTGTTACCTGTCATTACAGCTAGTCAAAAAAACAGGATAAAACTCCCCAATCCCCCCAAAATCATCCCTCCTTTTTGGTCAAAATTAAAAATTTTTGCCAAAATTTGAGGGTTGAAATGTTGGGTTCTTAATTGTTCTATCCTACCCTGCCT